CTTATCTAAAAATGATGCAGAAAAACTGGTTCATGCATTTGTCACATCTAGACTGGACTATTGCAATGCTTTATCTGTAACATCACACGCAACTTGGGTGGGAGGAGAGAGGAAAAACAGGACGGGGGGCACCAAGAGGAACAGTAAGACCGGAACTGAAAAAACTGGCAGGAAGGAACCTGGGTACCTCAAAACACAAAACCCCACCCCCATAGTCAAAGTAGAACGGCCTGGAAACCATCCTAAATGAAACGGGCACTTAGGTGGACAGCCGGGCGACCATCCAAAGCGGGGCAGTTATTTAGGCAGCTGATCGTGGGACCGTCCATCCTTGGGCAGGTGTGGTGTCAGGTGGCCAAGAGAGCGTCCATTCTTGTGCTGAAGTGGTGTCCACATGGACCCTCCTCGACTCAGGTTTATGAGAGATGAAGAGACCACTTGATAGGTCATGGCAGCCAGCGGAGAGACCACTGGAAAGACTGTGACTGTAGGTGAAGAGACCACTGCAGAGACTATGGCTGCAGGCAAAGAGATAACAGGTGAGACTGTGGGTGCAAGCGAAGTGACCACTGGAGAGAATGTGGCTGCAGGCGACCCAGCAATGAGAGCCACAGACTGAGTTGAACCAGCGAAGAGAGCCGCAGGTGGAGGCGAACGAGCAATGAGAGCCAAAGGTCAAGATGATTTGTCAAGTGGGTTACAGCTGATGAGTCAGAGGAAGAATCAGCAGCAGGCAATGAAACCAGAGGATCTGCAGAAGGTGAGGAGACCAACAGATTTGTAGAAGGAGAGGAGACAGTGAGTCTGAAGCTGGCATTGAAAACAGGGTGTCTGCAGCTTTCATAGAAACCAGGCCATCTGCAGCTGATGTAGAAACCAGGGGGACTGCAGCTGGTACATAAACCATACAGGCTGCAGCTGGCGTAGAAACCAGGGAGAGGTCGTCGTCTCCAACATCCATGGAGAGGCTTGGAGAAAACAGGTCATTGTCCCCAACGCCAATGGAGAGGCTCGAAAGGAACAGGTCATCATCCCTGATAGCCACAAAGAGGCTTGGATGGAACAGGTCATCGTCCCCGACGCCCATGGAGAGGCTCAGAGGGAACAGGTCATCGTTTCTAAAACCCACGGAGAGGCTCAGAGGGAACAGGTCCTCGTTACTGACACCAACATAGACAAAAGAATGTGGGTCATTGTCCCCAATGCCCATGGACACACTGGAGTGTGAAAAGTCATGGCCAAACACTGCAGACACAGGAAGGTGGGTTTGACTGCTTTTTTGTCTGAAACTTGCTCGGCTGCTTTGTTGGCTGAGGCTGGCTTGGCTGCTTCATCAGTTGAAGCTGGCTCTGCTGCTTCTTTAGCTGAGGCAGGTTCAGCTACTTTGTTGGCTGAGGAAGGCTCAGTTGCTTTGTCAACTGAGGCAGGCTCAGCTGCTTTGTTGACTGAGGTGGGCTCTGCTGCTTTATCGACTGAGACAGGCTCTGCTGTTTAATTGGCTGAAGTGGTGTCACTTCTTCAAGGACTGAAAGAGACATCACTGCTTCGGGGACTGCATAAGGCATCGCTGCTTCAGGGACTGCAGAAGGCATTGCTGGTTCAGGGACTGCAGGCGGCTTAGCTACTTGAGGGACTGCAGGCAGTGTACCTACTACAGAAGCTACAGGTGGCAAAGTTACCAGAGGATTTACCTGTCTAAATAAAGGCTGAATGAAAAATGGATCTGCAGGTGGTGTAGCTACCACTGCAGTAGACTTGGGAACCTCTGGAGACTAGGAGCCCTCTGGAGATGCGGAGCTCACAGGAGACTTGGGACCCACAGGAGACTCAGCTGGGCTCAGCTCTTCAAATGAGTGAGAACTGGACTGTTCTCCTGGTGAGTGAGGGCTTGGGTACTCCCCCTCCCCCATGAAATTCTCAACTGCTCCCCCAGTGCATCTGGGGTGACTCAGGTGGAGAGGGGAGCTGGAATTCTCATTATCTGTCAGGTGTACTAAAGCTGGTTTGTGCACAGCTGGTATTCATCCATCCATTATCTTTATTGTCTCATTTCTTTTTGGGTCACAGGGATCACTGGTGCCCATGTCCAACAGTCACTATTGCGAGGGACGGGGTACACCCTGGACAGGTCGCAAGTCAATCAAAGGGCCACATAGAGGCAAACCAGGCAAACAACCATTCACTCTCTCACCCACACCTAGGGACAATTTAGAGTCACCAATCAGACTAACATGCATGTTTTTGGTCTGTGGGATGAAACCGGAGCACTTGGAGAAATCTCAAGCATGCACAGAAAGAGCATGCAAACTCCATGCAGAATGGTCCACCGGCCAGCATTCTTGGTCTCTTGGACATATAAAACATCTGCCTTCTTCCTCTGCATCATTTCAGCCAGCTCTCTACCTTTGCCTGTCATTGTCCCAACATTTAGAGTTGCAATCCTCAGTCCTACGTTCTTGACTTTCCTCTTCTCTTTCTGTCTCCTGACACATTTCCCCCCCTCGTTGTCTTTGACTAACAGTAGCACAATTTCTACCAGCACCTGGTTTGTCAACAGCACCAGTGGTGGTCGTTATTAACCTGAGCCTCGAATGATCCTCTATGCTTTCACTTTGATGAACTCGCATTATAGTATACTGAATTATTATACTGAAACACCTCACATCATGCTTATTTTAGTATGAAGTCACCTGGCTGTAAAGTATTCTCCGGTATCTTGCACAAGAAGCGGTATTTTAAAATTGTCCTAAAATGTTTGAGTAGAATGGAGTCCTTACCTAAAGTTAGAATTACTCAGAAAACAAATTAATTTTGTCCCAATTGTTGGTTTTTGAAGGACCCAAATGCAAGAACACAGAAGTCAAGAATAATTAATCAAGATTTTTATTACTCAACCCAGGAATTCAAACGGCAGCACAGGTTGACATGAAAATAACACATACTGGCAATTTACAAGATAAACAGATTATCTGAAAATAGTAAAATAATGTATGTGTATAATGCATAAAAGGAGGACATTTGGTTATAGTCAACAGGTGTGCTGATTACTAATTGAAGCCAGGTGGTGTATGATGGTACAAGAAAAACACAACTAATGATCAAATCAGCTTTAAAAAAAAATCAGATATTGTTAGAGCAAACGTTTTCAGAATACTAAAAGAATCATCCTGGTAGATGAGAGGGTAGCTTTCCTGTGCCTTCAGGTGGGGGACAAGCTCTGACTATTGTTTGTGCCTATGCGTCAAATGGCAGTTCAGAGTATCCAGCCTTCTTGGAGTCCTTGGCGGAAGTGCTGGAAGGTTCACCAGCTGAGGACTCCTTTATTCTGCTGGGGGACTTCAATGCCCACGTGGGTAACGACAGTGTGACCTGGAGGGGCATGATTGGGAGGAATGGCCTCTCTGATCTGAACTCGAGCGGTGTTCTGTTGTTGGACTTCTGCGCTAGTCATAGTTTGTCCATCACAAACACTATGTTCGAACATAAGAGTGTCCATAAGTGCGCTTGGCACCAGGACACCCTAGGTCGTAGATCAATGATTGACTTTGTAGTTGTGTCATCAGATTTGCGATCGTTTGTTTTGGACACTAAGGTGAAGAGAGGAGCTGAACTGTCAGCTGATCACCTGGTAGTGAGTTGGATCAGCTGGCAGGGGAAGATGTCGGACAGACCTGGTAGACCCAAACGTGTAGTGAGAGTTTGCTGGGAACTTCTGGCAGAAGAACCCATCAGAAAGGTATCCTGATGCATGCTCAATAATCCAGGTAGAAAAATCCAAAAAAGTTCAATCTGGTCCATCAGAAAGATCTTCAACTCACACCTCCAGGAGAGCTTTAACCGCATCCCATCTGAGGTAGGGACCATTGAGTCAGAATGGGCTATGTTCCATGACTCAGTTGTTGAAGTGGATGCCCTGAGCTGTGACTGCAAGGTTGTCTGTGCTTCTCATGGTGACCATCCTCAAACTCGGTGGTGGACACCATGAATTAGGGAGGCTATCAAGCTGAATATGTAGTCCTATCGGTCCTTGTTGGCTGGTGGGACTTGGGAGGCAGCTGAGGAGTACCAGAGGGCTAAGCGTTCCACAGCCTTGGCTGTTGCTGAGGCAAAAGCTTGGATGTGGAAGGAGTTTAGTGAGGCCTTGGTTAATGACTCTCAGTCAGCTCCAAGGAGATGGCAAACCATCAGGCAGCTGAAGAGGGGAAAGCAACTTTTTACTAACACTGTGTTCAGTGAAGGTGGGGTGCTGTTGACCTCAACCAGTGATGTTGTCAGGAGGTGGAAGGAATACTTCCTGTACCTTCTCAATCCCATTGGCATGTCTTCCATGGAGGAAGCAGAGTCAGGGGACTTCAGAGTTGGTCTGTCTGTAACCGTAGCTGAGGTTGCCGAGGTAGTTAAAAAGCTCCACAGCGGCGGGGCTCCAGGGGTGGATGATATTTGACCTTATTTCCTTAAGGCTCTGGATGTTGTGGGGCTATCTTGGTTGACACACCTTTGCAACATTGTGTGGACATCGGGGACAGTGTCACTGGAATGGCAGCCCTAGGTGGTGGTTCCCCTCTTCAAAAGGGGGGGCCCGAGGGTATACTCCATTTATAGGGACATCACTCTCCTTAGCCTTTCTGCTAAGGTCTATTCAGGGGTACTGGAGAAGTGAGTCTGATTAGTTGATCCTCAGATCTGGGAGGAACAATGCAGGTTCCATTCTAGCCGTGGAACATTGGACCAGCTCTTTACCCTCACTAGGGTCCTCAAGGGGTCATGGGAGTTTGCCCATCCAGTTAGAGTTGAGCTCGGTTCCAAATAATCTGAGACCAACCCGGCCCCAGCCCGTAGCCATCATCTCCAAACCCCATCCGATCTGGCTAATTAACAGTATTTACAGGTCTGAACCCAGAAAAAAAACCCAACATTTTTAATTAAGCTTTGACTGCTTATACCATCGACTATTATTAAGGGTTAGCGGATGTGTGTGGCTGAGTAGACAGATCACAGCTGAAGAGCAGTCAAAGTGCATTTACTGTGCTTCTGCCTGCATTGACCCTGCAACTCTGACATGTTGGATATTTTGTGATCTCACCCGTTTGTGTCTCAACTGCGCACATCCGCTGAGTGCAGCGGCTGAATGAACATTCATTTGGGCTGATGGATCGCTGGCAGTAATCCATCTGAAGCTTAACTTAACTTTTTCAACCGGCTGGTCAAATAACCAGTGTGGCAATCCATGTTTGCACATATTGAATTGTCAGCCGCACGTGTTCCTGACGCAATAAAAAGCCCGACACCGACCTGGCCCACATATTAAGCACATTATTATGGCCCGGCTCAGTCTGAATCTGGGTCGGGCGGGGCCATGCTCTGGGGTCTGGTTAGAAATTACAGCTCTACATCCAGTCTATATGTGTTTTGTGAACTTGGAGAAGGCATTTGACCATGTTCCTCAGGGTACACTGTGGGGTGTGCTCCGTGAATATGGGATTGGAGGTCCGTTGTTACAGGCTGTTCGGTCCCTATACAAACAGTGCAAGAGTTTGGTTCACATTGCCAGTAGTAAATCAGACCCCTTCAGGGTGAGTTGGACTCTGCTAGGGCTGCCCATTGTCACCAATTCTTTTCATACCTTTTATGGACTGAATTTCTCAATGCAGCCAGGGGGTGGAGGGAATCTCGGTTTGGTGGCCTCGGGATTCCATCTCTGCTCTTTGCAGATTATGTTGTCCTGTTGGTGTCATAATGCCATGATCTTCAGCTCTCAATGGAGCAGTTCACAGCCGAGTGTGAAGTGGCTGGGATGAGATTCAGCACTTCCAAATCTGAGGCCATGTTCCTCAACCGGAAAAAGGTGGATTGCTCTCTTCAGGTCCAGGGTGAGGATCTGCCTCAAGTGGAGGAGTTCAAGTATCTTGGGTGTTTGTTCACAAGTGAGACAAGAATGGAGCATGAGATTGGCAGATGGACTGATGCAGCATCTGCAATATTGTGAACTCTATATCAGTTTGATGTGGTGCAGAGGGTGCTGAGCTGCAAGGCAAAGCTCTCTGTTTACTAGTATGTCTACTTTCCTACCCTCACCTATGGTTATGAGCTCTGGGTGGTGACCAAAAGAATGAGATTGTGGATACAGGCAGTTGAAATGAGTTTCTTTTTCAGGGAAGCTGGACTCTCCCTTAGAGATAGGGTGAGAAATTCAGTTATAGGGGAGAGACTCGGAGTAGAATTGCTGCTCCTCCACATCAAGAGGAGCCAGTTAAGGTGGTTCAGGCATCTGGTAAGGATGCCCCCTGGGCACCTCCTTAGGGAGGTGCTTTGGGCATGATCTGACTGGGAGGAGACCCCGGGGAAGACCAAGGACATGCTGGAGAGACAATGTCTCTCATTTGACATTGGAGCACCTTGGAGTCCTCCCAGAAGAGCTGGAAGAGGTGGCTGTTGAAAGAGATGTCTGGGCCTCACTGCTCAAGCTGTTGCCCCCATGACCCGACTTTGAAAAAAGTGGAAGATAATGGATGAATGGATGGATAAAAGAATAAATAATACACACAAACTGAGACAAATTTGTCTACAATCTGAATTAATTTTGAAGTTTTTACAATATTCTTGCTCAGAACGGTAGACCTCAACCATAAGATGATCAGCAGCAATCTTGACAGTGAACTGGTGGGAACTCATACGCTTCCTCTATTTAATACAAATATTTTATTCTTAATATAAGACTTTCAGACAAGAGAGGACATTTCCTCAAAAAACAAAACAGGAAGTCCAGTTGTCTTCTCAATAACTTTTAGGATGGCCATGACCTCATGTATGACTGAAAGCTTTCAAAATTTCATCCTAAATAATGTGGGCAATATCTATGTTGATAATATTGTAAATTCCCATTAGTGTGAGTTAACATTAATACCTACAGATTCAAAGTATGTTTGCAGTAAGTAATAAGTGTTAAGTATGCATTCACGTGGTGTCCCTTCTGTCTTTGCGTAGCTGTATAAAGAGATTACACCCAGGTTTCTCTCAGATGGCTGCAGAGAAATCGGGTAAACACATTGATGCTTGTGCTTCTGCAGAAGGTTGGGTTAACTGAATCTCTTGTGCATTTTGGCTAAAGAAACTGATGCTCTGTTCTGGCAGTTCTGTCTATCAAGAAACAATTTATCCACTGACAAAACTAACATAGATCTGTTTTTATTTATATTTTTGCTGTTTCCATCCAAACCCAAACAACACATGGAAAATAATAGCACAATAATGGTTGTATCTGTTAGAACAGTTAATTTTCAAGTACTTTTAGTTCAAGTTTTGGTCTGTGTATTTCTCTGCATAAACCTGTTTTTGATCATAACCTTTTTCATGAAGGAGTACTTTTACACAGTCACGCGCTACATCTTATTTGTTGTTATGTTGTTTTCTGATAGTCTGTTCCTAATCATGACTGATATGCTGCTCATTTTCAGCTATTTTACTACTACTGTACAAATGTGGTTGTGTCTTATTATCTTCATTGTTTTGGCTGTGTACACATTTGTCACACCTCTCACTCTTACAGCAATGGTCCTGGAGCGCTACGTGGCAATTTGTATACCTTTGAGGCATGCAGAACTGTGCACCACGCGCGCCACCCTGTACCTAATCCTTGTCGTTCACAGCCTAAGTTCTGTTCCATGCATTTTTATCCTTTCTGTTTTCTTTGCGTTAGCCCCCCGCACATTTTACTCTGAAGACAGAGTGTGCTCTGTGGAGATGTTCCTCTTGTACACATGGCAGGGTTATCTGAGATCAGCTACGAGTCAGTTTTACTTCTTGGTTATGAGTATTATTATTGTTTACGCCTATCTTACAATAATGAAGGTGGCCAAAGCTGCATCTGGAGAGAATAAAACGTCAACACGGAAGGGTCTCAGAACAGTGATTCTTCATTCTTTCCAGCTGCTTCTCTGTCTCCTCCAGCTGTTTTGTCCCTTCATCGAAGATGCTGTGCGACAGATTGATTTTACGTTGTTTATTAAAGTCAGGTACTTTAATTATGTCACCTTTATTATAGCTCCGAGATGTCTTAGCCCTCTCATTTACGGTCTCAGGGATGATTTATTTTTTCAGGCTATTAGGTATTACACACTCTGTGGTTTGTACAAAAAAGCACCATCAAGCTAAAAAAAAAATCAGCTTGTTATTGTCCTTAACATACTGCATGTCTTTTCTTGTCACAATATGGATCTCCTTATATAAGTCATTACATTGCAAATATAAAATGTTTATATCAATATTGATGCTGCTGCTAACTTCATTTTGTGCCCCCTCCCTGCATAGGCCTCTGTTCTCTACACTTACACACTGCCTAGCTTTTGGCACACTCAGCTTTCCCCACCATGGAGTTTACCTTAACCAGTTTGTCTTTAATTCACATGTCTGAATACAGAAATATGTTTGAATTTAAGGTCCCCAAAGTGTAGTAAATCCACTGTGTTAAAACGATATTTTCTTCTATGAAAAAAATCCTTCGTTTTGCTCAATAGATTACAAAAAAGCCTCAAAAGAGTGTACTTTGTCATTTTTTCTTTTGCCATTTTAAAACAAAAAGACTAAATGATAGTGTTTAAAGAGAAGACAATTTATAACACTCTATGCACAATGTTGTTTTTCAGAAGTTTAAATACATTTGGACAAATTTACTCAAAAACTAAAATAATGTGTTGGAGATTAAGGGGTAATGTGGAGGCACTAATTCACAATTTACTGCAAATAAGGTGTCATGGTATTTATAACATTTTGATTTGGATCTGTTTGGTAGGCTTGAGACTGACAACGTCCTCTGGATGGAGAATGACACATTTCTCACTTAAAGGAACTGGTCCAGATTACATGATTTGAGCTGGAGCACATGAGCTGGAGCACATGAGCTGGAGCAACAACACCACCAGCCTGATCAAGAAAGCTCATCAGAG